TAATTTCGTGTCGAATCGTACGGTGTCGAATAATTTCGTGTCAAATCGTACGGTGTCGAATAATCTGGTGTCGAATAATTTGGTGTCGAGTAAATCTGTGTCGAATCGAGCGGTGTCGAATCGTACTGTGGTCAAACGGAACACGCCCGGTTTTCATGGGTCTTGGGGCAAATGTCGAGGCGGGAACCTGGAGTGTCCTTTTGGACAATGGGTCCACGTGAGGTTCCCCCCCCTTTGTCCAAAGTCGGAAGAATTTTATGGACAAAATTGCTTCAGAAAGGATTCTCGGTCAAGAGTTTCTCCGGTCAACTGGCTCATTTATTCCGGGACAGCAGTCTGGAAGAGAGCGGGAAGGTTGACTTCTGTTGGATCATTGGGACGATGATCTAGAAGAGAGAGGGTGCAGTGTTGCGAGATGCGGCGCGTGTCGTCAACGCGGTATAAGAAGATGTTCGTCGGACGATCGATCGCTAGGAGGCTTTTGTTCGGGTAGCAACGGAGTTGTTTACGAGAGAAGTTCAAGAGAGATACAAAGCTGTCACGGCGCGTTTCGGCGATTTGGATTACGAGCTGTTTTTTCCTTGTATTCTGTTGTAATAAAGTGTGTTTGACGAAAAGCCGCGTACCCTCTTGTTTTCGCGGGCAAGTGTGTGTTTCGCGACATAGCTTTAGCGCGGCCGCGAACGCAACAATACAAGTGAAAAAAAATCTTAAATCATAAGATGTATATAAGTTTGTAGACGGAGACGTCACGAATCGCTTAACACATCCGTGCTGACCACCACGCGTATAGTTTAAACACATTCTCCATAGCGCAATGTCTTGAATGGTTGCCGCAGTTGAAGACTCGCGAATCGTCGAGATTTTGCAGACTTTCGATGTCCTCGTAGTCGAAGTCAATGGTCTCGATGATGATGATGATGATGATAATGATGATGATGTCACAATCGTTGAGTAAGTCACCAACGACTTTCGTCAACCACTGCTTCTTCTCGGCACCTTTTACATACATATTGTACTTAGAAGCGCTTCGTCTTTGTCGCATCCGTAGTAGGCTCTTCTGAATTTTACATACATATCGTACAACACGGCGTATCGTTCTTTACTAAAATCCAGATTCAAGTCATTGTCGTAAGGATAAAAATCCGAATTTAGAAACAACTTTACGTTGGGCAAGTTGCAATCATCGAACCGCGAGCAATCTCGGCTGACAACGTTCTTTCGGCCGGTTTGCATTACGTTCGATTTCCGTATCGGTAACGGTTGTATACGCGTGTTGCCGTTTGAAACGCGTTTCTTTTACGTTTGATACCTGTATCGGGAACGGTTGTATACGCGTGTTACCGTTCAAAACACGTTGTTGACGTTCGATACCCGTATCGGGAACGGTTGGATACGCGTGTTGCTGCTCAAAACGCATTTTTTTTACGTTCAATACCCATTTCGGGAACGGTTGTATACGCGTGTTGCCGTTTGAAACGCGTTTTTTGACGTTCAATACCCGTATCGAGAACGGTTGTATACGCGTGGTGTCGTTCGAAACGCGTTTTTTGACGTTCGATACCCGTATCAGGAACGGTTGTATACACGTGTTGCCGTTCGAAACGCGCGCTACGCTTGGCGCCGCAATCTCACAATCGTTTTAAATAATTGTTGAATTGTCGATCAATTAGTCGCTGCGATTGTCGCGCGGTGGTAATCGAGAAGGAGGAAAGGCGCGACGATTGCAATATTTTTACAGAGCAAATATCAACCGGCAACGAGTTTTTGTCCATCATCGAAAAGCTTCGCGAAGCGGGAGTGATTATAAATTGAATCAATGATCAGCAAACGTTGACAGTTCTGTTTGCGCGCGATGAGCGTCAATAAGTTCGGTTCGCTGTTGCAAAATCGCGATTACGACTACAATGACGGAGAACGCTTTTGACTAATTTACGTAAGTACGTACGCAACAACGCTCTCTGTTTATCCGCGTCATTGTCGTCACCTGAATACGATGCAAAGGAGCGCGCAATAACCCGATTGACAAAACCGCGAAACAGTTCCGACGCCGCGACCAAGATCTACATAGACGACGCTTTCTCGCGAGCGTTCGACGCCGCAGTTATTCTGGGCGCAAACGTGGACGCGCTCTCGACCACTACGACGAACTCCATAGCGAAAATTAAAGAATCTGTAGATAATCTGCGAGATAGCTCCGCGACTGCGTTGTCAAGCGCTGAGGCAACGAAAAAGCGGTTGTCGAGCTTGGAGAAGAGCGCGACACATTTCGTTGATCGACGCGAGTTCGACGATTTTAAAAAATACAAGCTGTTGAGCAAAGACCTGAGTGAGACCGTTGAGCATCTGCGAACAAACGCGTACGACCGATTGAATAAGCTGGAAACAAGACCGCGGAGTGCGGATCCGCGCGAGATCGAAAACTTGAGAAAAGACCTGATTCAATTTTGCAAAGAAGTCGGAGAGGCGATTGAGACTCTGCGAAAAAACGCGTACAATCGATTAGTGCAGTTAGAAAATTTGCCCACGGGAACAGAAACAAAAAAAGTTAGTGAGTGAGTCTCTGTAAAACAAAATGTGAGCGACATGTTGTACATTGTTTGCAAAACACGCAATATGTGGAACTCTATCAACACTAACTTGCGCAAGACCGTGTGAGAATTAGCGAGACAAGCAGCTACAATCAAGATGAGCGTCGAGAAGAGAGAGCTGCACGCGCTTGCGCGACGCAACTTTCCGCGCAGACGAGTAGTCGTGCGCGGTTACGACGATTTGTGGCAGCCCGACGTGGTCGATATGCGGCCTTACGTTTGCTTAGAACAAAGGTCGCAACTACATTGTCACAGTCATCAATGTGTTGAGCAAGTACGTATGGGCGTTGCCGCTTAAGAGCAAAAGCGGCAAAGAGGTTGCTAAGGCGTTCGCGAAGATCTTTCGCGCCGACGGTCGTCATCCGGCGAATCTTCAAACCGATCGCGGCAATAAGTTCTACAACGTAGATGTGGAAAATCTGATGCATCGGCATGGCGTCAATCACTATTCCACATACTCTGTTATAAAAACGTCGGTGATTGAACGTTTTAATCGCACGCTCAAAAACAACATGTGGAAGATGTTTACGCTAAACGGATTGTATCGCTAGATCGACGACCTGCAGCGACTTAACGAAGTACAACGCGCACAAGCATTGCACCATCGGCGCGCGACCCATCGACGTAACGCCGGCTTCGAGCGAGCGACTACTGCGCACGGTGTACAGCAACGTCAAGATCGCAGGACCGGCGCGATTCAGAGTCGGCGATCCTGTGCGCGTGAGCAAGTACAAAACCGTTTTTGCCAAAGGTTACACTCCAAACTGGACTACCAAGGTGTTCCGCGTTAAAAAGGTGCAACAAACTTCACCAGCGACCTATCTGCTCGAGGATTATCGCGGTGAACCCATAGCCGGTGGATTCTACGAGCACGAGTTGCACGCGGTTAAACATCCGGATGTGTATCTCGTGGAAAAGGTTCTGCGTCGCCGAGGCAAAGAAGTATTGGTTAAGTGGTTGGGACTGGACAATTTGGACAATTCCTGGATAAATAAAAACAATGTTGTCTAATATTATGGTGTAATCTTTTTTATTTTCTTATATTTTTACAATTAATACATATATCGTAATTATCTTTTAAATGTAATTTTTATACAATAAAAACAATTACATATATACAATAAAAACAATTACATATATATTTCATTTAATGTGTATTATTATATAATCCACCTAATTTAATCTACGTTAGTCAGAGATATTGTAGTGACCCCAGGGTAAAGTGTCGGTTGATCCTTGGACGACGTACCGCTTGTCGTCGTGCGGACTCAGAGCGAGCTTCCTCTCCAAAACGGTGAACACCTCATGCAGCTGGGATCGTATGCACGACTGCTGTCGCGTTAGTTCAGTCGCGTCCCGCAGACACCGCACGTAGTCGTCGAAGATGATCGTTCTCGCGACAACGCTCCTCTTCACACCCTTTACCTTCTTTATGCACTTGCTGTCGCTCACTCGAGTCACGTACATCTTTGCGCGCAACTCCACAAACTCCGTCATAACAGCGCCGTTGTTCTCATCCTTTATAAGTCCCTTCATAAGTACCTTCTTGTTCGCGCAAGGCATGTTGTATGGATTATCCCCTGGATAATCAAAACGAGCGATATTGCGCTTCATATCCTCGTACACATCCTCGCACTTTATGTGGTATATTAAACTGTCGGTATCGGTGTAAAGGATCTTGCAATCGTAACCGTACAACGGCGCCATGTGGTCATAATGGAATTTGTAAAGACAGGTCTTCGATATGTCGAGTATGCACATACCGACGTACAACGGTTTGTTGAACAAAACTTCCAGGCGACGCAGTTCTATGGCCACCAGATTTTCAGCGAACTTGCTGCGGCTGTGGAAGTTTGGTTTTGCAATGAGCGCCTCCGCACCGTATCGTCCTTCCCATTTTGTAACAATTCGTACGTCGGTATACTTGCGCACGTTCTTTATTGTTTTGCCGAACACCGCGTTGTTCATAAGTTTGTAAAGATTTTTTGCAAACTCGTTGGCGGCGTTCGCGCGGAATTGGGTATTGAGCTCAATGTATCCGCGCAGCCAAGGCGATTGCGAAAACCGCAGCACTCGATGTATTCGTGTTAAGCGAAGCCCGTGTCGCAGACACTGCTGCAGGCAGTGAATCTTGAAATAGTGAATTACGTAACGCTTCTTGTTGAACACCGTGGCGAGCAGTTTGACGTGATTCTTACCGCGTTTACCAGGCGGCTCTTCCCGCGTTGGACAAAAAAGCAGGTCTCTGTGCGCGTCGTGCAGTTCTTTCAGATATGTTAGATTGACCTCGAGTATGTAGCCGATGTCGTTGTCCGCCGCGACGGTTGTTACATCAAACTCGTACGCGTTCTCCACCCATGCAAAGTTACCGTATGGAAGCGGCTGACACATCGCCCATCCGTAGAGATTGTTTACGTCGTAGTACATCAGATACGACGACGGTTCGGATGGATCGTGCGAACGCACGTACCTGTTGTTCGCGCGGGCGTATCTGTTCGAACATTGACTCAGACCGCCGCGTACGCCGCGTTCCACGAACATCACCATGTCGATGTTGATCAGCAGCTCGAACGTCACACAAGTGTACTTCAGTATGGCGTCCCATGTATACCCAAGCAACGTGTAGTAAGGATCCAATCCGTAACTCGCGAGGCACTCGCGACGAAAGTTTTCAAATACATTAGCCAGCAAAAGTACGTCCGTCTTCAGATACAAGTTGCTATACGATCTCAGATTTTCGATGTTAAATCGTTGCCATACATTCGTCGCGTGCGCGTACTCACTCTCCGTCACAGTCTCGCCGGTCAGCAAACTGTAAAACGCCTTGCGCAGTAGCAAACTTGTTTCTAACAATTTGTCGACGCTGTGCACATATTCATATGGAAACACACTTTTTCGCGTTAGCAGTTCAAAGTCCTTGGTGGAGAGATCTCTGAATTCCGTTTGAGTCACACGCAGTTTGCTTTTGTCGAGATAGGACGCGAGCTTTTCTAAGCTTGTGCTCAGAAATTTGTAAGAATCGATAAATTGCAGTTGCACGCACCTCTGTTTGTCTTCGTCTCGCATACTGTTCACGTATTTTGTGAACGATATGTAGGTCTCTTTCGTCACGGGCAGCACGTTGATCTTACCTTCGAAAGCGGTAGCCACATCCTTGATAATAAAATGCGCGTCATATCCGGACAAGTTGTAGAACACAACGGGAACAACGTAGACTTGTTTGTAATTCAGATTGCACGCGAAGTGCGCGGGTCCTCTGAAACGCCCCGTTAGATGACGGTAATCGCGCACCCTATTGTCATCTCGCTCGAACGGTTGTTCACAAACGTAACAACACTTAGCGTTCTTAAACCGCTCGATCTCTGCTGGTATGAGATTCGCCATTGGTACATTTGCCACGAACAAGGTCTTCGCACGTTTTGCGAGATCGTGCAGTTCATTCACGAACCACTGCACGCAGTTCTCTATGAGATCTGTATCCGATGTCGATGTGCTTGCAGCTTGCGTAATAACCGTTGCTGAACACACAGTGTCTTTGGTACTTGTGCGCGTTTGATGCGTTCTGCTCTTCGTCCTGTTTCTCGAGTACGCACTTCAAGTCGGCGTACACCACCATTGGAACCCGTTCCTTGTTGTTGTAATTCTCGAATTTCAAACGGATCTTTCCCTCTGCAGGGAGGACCACTGCGCTGTTGTTCAATCGTTTGCAGTTCACGGTGTGTTCCGCCAGCTTCTCGCTTGTGTGGAAGTAGTGTAGACATCCGTACGCGTTGCAATAAAAACAATACACACATTGATTCATGAGTTCAACCATCTCGTAATTTGAACGGTCATTTGGTTTGTACTTACCGATCACATATGTATTTTATTTTTGTATTCTTGTTTAATTGTGAGATGACTAATCGCGATAAATGTTTTATCCACGCGAAGTGTCCCACGTGTCCATCGCGTTGATCGGGAACATACAGCAGATTCACATGCTTCTCCTTCTTGTTCAACGTAAGGTGCATCCGCACGTATCCGTGTCCCTGTTCCGCCGCCGTAAACACGTTTACGGACACGTTTGTTGCGTTCGAAACGCGCGATTTGATGCAATGTCATTGGAAATTCTGTTCCATAAAAGTTCAACACACTCGCGTACGCGGGATACTGTGATCTTTGTTGAGGATGTAAAGCACTAGGATACAACGCGGCGACCACTGCCCACGCGAAACACGCATTGTCTCGCGACTGTACGTTTACTACCGCGTGTTTGAGCTGAACCTCACGCGACATCTGGACCTGACATCTTGCGTGCATCGGATTATGACTGTTCACATTCACTGTAAAGTTCAGTACCTGCGCCAACGCCCAACCGCTGTCGCGTTCCTGGAACTCCTCCAGAGCGGTCATTGTTGCATCCATCACGTCTCGATCGTACCACTCGCGCAGATCCGACACATGATAAAGTCCGCGGTTGCGTGTATTGAACTATTTTACACTCGTTTTTTCACCCGCCACAAACTTCCCGGTGAACACTGTGTTCACTTTTACACTAGCGTGCTGCGCGATCGCTCGATGAACGCGCGCGAGCACCGTGTCTCTAGCGGCTTCGAGAAAGCGACGGGATTTGATGAACGACTTGTTCACCACGATGTCGGTCACCAAACAATTTTTAAACGCTGTCTCAACTTCGACCCATGCGAGTCCAGCATTCTCGACACCCGCACCAACGTTTGCAAAGGGCCGCGTGCAGACCTTTGAGTCGCGAGATTCAAGCGACGTGCCAATTAATCACACCTGTGGACGGTCGCGAGCGTTTTCTTCGGCACTCTTCTCTCAGCGTCTCTAGACGTTTGTCGCAACGTTCCACCCACGAAATGAAACCATTTAACGTGTCGAGGAGCGCGGCCTCTTCTTCGAGCGGTTCGCGATCGTTCATGTTTGCCATCGCTTATATACTTGTATTTTTTTAAATATTAAAATATTAGAAAGGTAGAGCCGTACATCAAACCAGATTTCACGTATTGCGTCCTTGCACACTTTAAGAATTTCAAGATTGTGTATTTTTATAGAGCTTGCGATCTCGATTGCTCGAGATCAAAACGACTTGTAACTCGCTCCCGATTTCGACGCGCCTTTTTATTTCGCTCCTTGTTGTCTTTGCGATCTTTTGATTTGAAATTTCAAATTAAAAAAAACCGGTAAAAAAACCACATCCGGTACGTAACGGTTTTGTACACAGTTGTTATCGCAAGAAATGATTCATCAAACCGGAAGTGCCGGATTGCTTCGGCGATAAGAAAAGAACTGCACTTCCGGGAAATTTACGGTTTTTTCGGAATTATTATTATTATTTTACTACGCAGTTGCGGTTTTTCTCAGTTGCGGAATTATTTTTTTACTGCGCAATTAAAAATCCTAATCAAAAGGTTATAGTAGTTTAGCGATGACGTCATCATCTAAATGATCTTGAACACGCACGGACCTGTTCGAGTTCTATTTTTAGCGATGACGTCATCATTTTTGCGGATTTTTTCGGAAAGTATTTATGTTACTGCGCAGTTGCGGTTTTTTGAAAATGTCCGTAAGGTGGTAAAGTGGGGAGAAATTTTTTCATTTATTTATGGGATATATAAGGCGCTGCATGGTAACCAAAACAGTCAGTCTCGCTGCGATCGTTCTGCGTGCTACGAGTTGTCGCTCTTTCTCCTACTCCTCTTCGCAACGAACAGCTCGACAATGTATCGCTCGATAGTACCGATGAAGCAACAACAACAACCTTCGATCGATCTTCAGCGCGAGCCTCAACAAAACGGCGCGAAGAGAAAGAAGTTCAATCAAGGGTAAGTTTTTTTGTTTTGCTTTTTTTTTTGTTGCTTCTATTTTATTATTTTTTATTTGCGATAAAATCATGTTTTGTAGTTTTCTTATTTACAGACAATGCAATGGCATTCAATCGACATCGACTACACCCAACGTATCGGCACAGCGTACGCGGATACTGAGCCTCAAATACATCTTAACTAAAACGGGGTACAAGTATTTTGAACTCGGCATTGGTATTTTATCGATAGATGCACCACCAACCGTTGACATAGCTCTAGGCGACAACAATGAGAACAAAAAAGTGGAAAGTGTTGTTGGACAGCAAACGAATAATTACGTCCTATTTGTCGGGGCAAAGCGACGCGCAGCCGCCGATTCTTGTACACGATCTGGCTGTATTGTTCAGCTTGATAAAAAAAACGCAAAGATCATGCGTCTGATTACAAAAACTAGCCGCATAATATTGTCCCACCAATCAATGTGCCACTTGATTGTTCAACTTGAAACATTGCGTTACGTGCATCATCGCCTACTTGAACAACGTCGTTATTCGCGTGCGAAACAGATTGTCGCAGTATTTCGCAATCCAGTCTGAATTATTTGATCCCGCCAGCTTCGCAAATGCTGTTGCACAGAGCGGTATCTTTGATGTCAACGATATTGTCGATTGCGAATTGTTAGCTGTATGTTACGGCGTTGCGCCTGAATAAATATTATTATTGTTTTGTTTCACTCTCATGTATGTAACTTTATTTTTACAGAACATAATAAAAAATTGCTCTGTTCTTCAATAACACAGTGTTTTTTATTTCACATTTTCTAACCACATATGCGTTCCCATTAAAACATTTTTTTTAATTGTAAACACTTTTAACCAATAGTTTTCAAGAAATAAACACACACACATCGAGGACGTAACGATTTTTTATTTGCACGCGTTTTTAATAATAAATACTTATAGTACACACGCACCAGAAGTGTGTAAAAAAAACCACATTCGGTACGTAACGGTTGCAAATGTTATCGCAGGAAATGACTTATCAAACCAAAAGTGCCTGATTGCTTCGGCGATAAGAAAAGACGCACTTTCGGGAACTGCGATTTTTCTCGGAATTGTTATTATTATTTTACTGCGCAATTGCGGCATTTCTCGGAATTATTTTACTGCAATTAAAAATCCTAAATATTATTTTAGCGATGACGTCATCACCCAAATGACCGTGAACACGCACGGACCTGTTCGAAGACGCACGAACACGTCCGCACCCGCGCCGAACGACCTTTGTCACCAGAGCCGGAACCAGGCGTGCGTCTGGAAGTGTGGCGGGACGACGAAGGAAACCGGGCGTCACTTAGAGATGTCCTGGTCAGCGCCCAAGTGCAGTACGAAAAAGTGGAGCTTTGGAAGGAGGCGACCAAGTGGGCGAAACACGTGCTAGAGGAAATTGTGGTCAGCGTCGAATCCAAGACGGGTGCCTGAAGTGAACAACAGAACTTATTGGGCTTAGCAAAGTCATTTTAGTTTTGTTAACATGATACGCAAAGTTAAAAGCGTAAGGGCCAACTGACCATCTGAACTTGTGTTTTAAGAACATTAGTGACTAGTATATAAGTCAGCGGTTAGTTGATGGGATACTAGTTACGAATTTTAATTTATCCATTAAGCAGTAAATAAACAATCCTATGTGTTAGGAATTATTGTTAAAAGGATTTAACGAAGTGTAGTTGAGTAAACGTAACAAAAGCAACTTTGTCATTCAAAGTGTTACGGTGTTAAGGGAAAGGAGGAGAGAAGTCAAAGTTTTATTTATTTCGTTTCTTTTTTATTCTCTCTAGTGACTATTTTTGTTTTTGTGATATTCTTTAGTTTGTGCTTATCCAGAAAAACGTTATTTTATACGCTAACTAAGTATGTGTGTTTGTTTGGTTTTAAGGCCTGTAGTTTGAAAGGTAAAGGCTGTGTAACAAAGTTTAGCGTAGTATTTTATTTTAAGCCAGCGTGGTACTACGGAGGCAATATAAGTGAGAAAGTAGATGTGACTTTGAAAATTAATAACGTGGTAATATTTGGAAGTGGTAGTTAAGACAACCTGATGGGTGTACGATAGTCTGATCGTTGTGGCAAAACCAAATAACATGGTAAGAAATGTTATTTGGCGTTTTTGGAAATTTTGTCAAAGTTATAGTTAAGGAAAGATTTTCTGGAAAATAAAACATGAGTCTTGGTAGAAACCAACCATGGAGAAATCTTGCCTTAATTGGAAGGTTCAACTAATTTGTTTAAATAACGAATTAATTGAACGGGGTGTTGTTTGTCGGCTACGTAGGACCCTGAAAATGTAAAAAATCTCACTTAAATTGCGCCCGGAGGAAATTCCCTGTCCTAGGGAAAGTGTAGTACGAACGTACCTTAAGGCGCGACTAGCGGTAACCGTGTGAGTGGTAGCCTTAAGGCCTAGCAGGAGAGACGACCATCTTGTCTCGGCAGTCGAACATCGAAAGCTGTACGGTGCGGACGCGAGTTCCTAGACACGTGCGTTAACAAAGCTTTCTGAGACTCGAAATATAACGTCTGA